AAAGAAAGAAAGAAGCCAAATAAAAAAGAAGAGAGAGAGAGATTTGCTAATATCAAAGAGGTGATAACATTCTAATACATTCTTTTATGAGTTTCCCTGGTGTTTTGAGTGTTCACAGCCATGGTACACCCTGTATAGTCGGTGGCTGGGGAGGAAGCACCATTACTGAGTAAGAACCATAAGAAACCACTTTGAGATAAAAATTCAATCGTTTTCCTCCATGTCCCAAGTGAGGCTCTGACCTCCAGAAAGGCCCTCAATTGTCCCGCAGCCGGGGGTGCCCCATTTGCTGCCTGTTTAGAACAATGACTGCCAGTTGTCTTTATTTTAGCTGAGAATCATTTGTAAAATCTGTGTCCAAATGTGTAAAAGCTAGAGAGGTGATTCTGTATTGTTTTATTTTAGAGCTAAAGACTTGGCTGGACGGTCCCTGCGAGTCTGTAAAGGCCCCAGGGCCGTGTTTTCCCGGGTCTTGCTGCTGTTTTCCTTGACTGATTCCATGGAAGATGAAGAAGCTGCTTGTGGGGGTCAAGGTCAGCTTTCTACGGTGCTGTTGGTCAACCTGGGCCGAATGGAATTTCCTCAGTGTACTGTCAGCCGGAAGACCCAGATCTTCAGGGACAGAGAAGACCTCATCAGGTGAGGTCACACTGAGTCACTACCATATCTGTGTGCGTTTTAAATTTTAATAAGAGGTCTTGCTTTTTTTTTTTTTTTTTTTTTTTTTTTTTTTGCCAGCTGATGTGGAAACGCGGAGTGCATGCCATGGTCATTTTTAAGTTTTCGGGGCTTATCATCCCATGCCTTCCTCACGTGCCTTCTCCGTCTACAGGAGAATGCAGACATGCACTTAGACCAAGGCTGCCAAGTCAGTGAGTTTTTGAGTTAAAGCTACAAAAGTTTTCACTGGGTTCCGTTCCTGAGTAGCTGGGGCAGGAAACACTTTCGCGACACAGACATTTTGACAACCCTGCCTTGAGGATGTGTTGGGGATGCATAAGGCAGAACGAGTTTTCCCAGTCACAGCGTTCAGACCAGACTGATAAGAGCTTATACGGGTGTGTTAGGATCACATACATGCTGAGTTAGAACTTGGAAGTTTACACAGCACGTCGTGGAATTTATGAACATTGGCTTGATCACCAGTGGGTTTTGACTGAAAAATGGTATTGTTCTTAAAGAAAGAAAGAAATACCTAGTTTTTGTTTGTTTGTTTTTTGAGACAAAGTTTCTCTGTGTAGTTTTGGAACCTGTCCTGGATCTTGCTCTGTAGACCACGCTGGTCTCGAACTCACAGAGAACTCCTCCTGGCTCTGCCTCCTGAGTGTTGGGATTAAAGGCGTGTGCCACCACCGCCCGGCAGAAAAACCTAGTTTTACTAGTCTGGCCTTCGTGTAGTGCCTCGTGCAGCTAGTTATTGCTGTGAATGTCGTCACGACCCTCATCGGACAGGGATCGCCTTTCAGTTTTGTGGTTGACGAAACCACGGGTGGCAAGCTCGTACCTATGCTCTAATGAAGTCATTAAAATCCCACTGGTTATGAATGAAATGGGGTCTAGTTGACCTCTGAAAGTGCCAGATTATACGAACCCTGTAACATGACAGCTGACCTGACAGCCCTTTGCCCACTTCTGCACTTGAGATCGGTGATCCTCAGTTATTCGGTAAAGCTGTGTTGAGTGCTCGACATAGCAGTGGAGTTATAGCAGTGAAGGAGGTAAGGCTGCTGACTCCGTGGGTACCGTTCACTGGGGAGATAAGAAGCAGGAACATTACAGGACGAGCTGCAGGGACCAGAGGTTGCTTGACCTCAGTGAGATGCGCTGCAGCCTGGGTCTTCCCAGTATTGGGAAGCCGCTGAAGGGGGAATTCCATGTTTTTAGCCAGAGCAGCCTTACGGAGCACAAGTCAGAGGTGAGCAGGAGAGCTGAAGAAGGCCAGTTTGACTTTGGTGGTGGTCTAGGTGAAGGATGAAGGTCGTTCGTGACATACTGACTGGGCAGTGGACACAGGTCAGTATATCAAAAACAGTTTGGAAGCAGAGACAACTTGATCATTAATGGATGAAGGAGGGGAGGGGAGAGAGAGCATGGAGGGAGGAGGCTGGGCATGGGGAGGAGAGTACTGTTTGAGGTCGGTGTGTCTACTGCCATTGAGAAGAGGTTGGGGAAGCAAGGACTGTGGCTTCCGGACAGATGAGGGATGGGCACTGCCCACGTGAGTCCAGATGGTGACGAGGACTAGCCGGCTGGCAGCTGAGGGAGATGGGGGGGGGGCTTGGTTCTGGTGGGAGTTGGACCAGCTGTGATGCTGAATGTGTGATGCTGCCCCTGTTCTGGTGATGCTTTGAGGTTGGGAGGAGGGTACCACCTGCCTGCTCTAACCTCCAGACGTTTTTTCTTTTTCTTCTGAGGAGGGTCTTGTGTAGCCTAGGCTGCCCCTGAGCTTGCTTTGAACCCGAGGATGACCTTGGAGTTCTGAATCTCTTGTTTTGATTTGTGCCAACACAACTGGTTTATGCAGTGCTGGGGATCGAACCTAGGACTTTGTGTGTAGCAGGCGAGTGCTCTATCACTGAGCTACAGTAGTCCCTGACGATGTCTTTCTGTTTCCTTAATTCACCTTGGATTGCCTAGTAGCACATCATAAATAATTGTGTCTGTGGTAGCAGTTCTCAACCTGTGGATCATGATCATTGGAAAACACATATTTCTAATGGTCTTAGGAACCCCCAATAGTAAATTTATTTTCATTGCTACTTTATAGCTAATTTTGCTATGGAGTGCTGTCTCAGTTCCTAAAACTATTGGAAAACACATATTATAATACATGAATGTGTTTTCCGATGGTCACGACCCACGACCCACAGGTTAAGGACCACTGGTCTTTGGGTTTGTGGGCAAACTTGACCCCTGGAGGCAGGCTATTTTCTTGTTAATGTTAGTGTATTACATGCTTTTCTTCTCCAAAATACAATGAATATGCTCTCATAGTATTTCAGAGTCTGTTAGTCACGTGTCATTGATTTTCATATCTAAGGAAGTAATGAAAAGTCATATTTCTTCCACTAAATTGTTCATAAAATTTCACCATCGCTGTCTCCCCTGAGTGTTCCCAGTTACTTTGGAAATACCCTGTCATCCTTTTGGCTTGGACAGTGCCCCAATGCACTTCTGACTGTATTTACTGTGTCAAAGTGACATCTTGCTACAGCTCTGAAGTCAGTTACAGATTTACTTGGTGCCTCTCAAATTAGTGAATGAGTGAATGCCAGAACCCAGCTTTGGGATCTTACAGTGTAAACGCTTCTGTCTTCCTAGCAGGGCAGCCGGAATCAGTCACGGCCATTCTGAGCAGTGGGGGAGAGCTATACTAAATTATTACTTAAATGCAACTTAAATATACCTCACTTTTTTGTGGTTTCGATTTTTCCATTTTTGAAGCAGAGTGTAGCAGAATCTTAAAAGTTTTTATTAATAAGATCAATCCTGAGGCCAATTATTGGGGTGAATGCTGGAAGATCAGAGAAGCAGAACAAGCCACAGCTACCTCACCTTGCCAGTTCCTTAGCTGATCCTGTTTCCTCAGACTGGAAGCCTCTCAGTCCTCATCCGAATGTGTCTCAGCTGAACTGCTGCTCCAAAGCCTGAAAGCTTAACCAGCCAAATGCTTCTAGTTTCTGGTCCTCACGCCTTATATATCTTTCTGCTTTCTGCCTCACTCCCTCGGATTAAAGGCTCACTTTCTGGGATTAAAGGCGTGAGTCACCATGCCTGGCTCTTTCCAATGTGGCCTTGAACTCACAGAGATCCAGAGGGATCTCTGCCTCTGGAATGCTAGGATTAAAGGCGCGTGCTACCACTGCCTATCCTCTATGTTTAACATTGTGGCTGTTCTCTTCTCTGACCCCAGATAAGTTTATTAGCATGCACAATATTTTGGGGAACACAATACCATCACAGCAGGGTCTCAGTGGGTAGCCTCAGGTAGTCTGGAACTCTCTTTGTAGACCTGGAACTTAAAGATCCACACATCCTCTGCTCTGCTTCCCAGTGCTGGGATTGAAGGCAAGCACCACCGTGTCCTGCGCATCCCTCACATTCTCATGAACATAAGCTCAGTGGCCAGGATGTGGGAATTGTCATGGAAGGACTCCTTGACTTAGACCCACCGGCGTTTTCCCCTAGATATGCAGCGGCCGCACACATGCTGAGTGACCTTTCCGCTGCCATGGCCAATGGGAACTGGGAAGAAGCTAAGGAGCTTTCCCAGAGTGCAAAAAGAGACTGGGACCAACTGAAGAGCCACCCTTCGCTGAGGTGAGTGCTGTGTGTTTTCTTCATTTCGTCTCCCAGTGTTGGGGGTGGAACTCATGGCCTGAGCTCTGTGCTCAGAGGACGTTGGAGAGAGTCGAAGGTACTGGGCGGAGGCTGTGAGGAAGACACATGGTATATATGCACGAGGTAGTCAGTAAACTAGAAATATTAAAAGCAAGAACAAAAAGCAAGGTGGAGACGGGTTGAGGGAGATACCCAGTGCCAACTTCTGGCCTCCTTGTGTACAGGTACCTGCACACACTTTCACACAGACACGTACACCTCCCTGCACTGGCTGGTCTTCTTCCGGCTAGAGTCATCTGAAGAAGAGAACCTCAACTGAGAAAATGTCTCTATAAGATCGGGCTGGAGGCAAGCCTGTAGGGCATTTTCTTAATTAGTGATTGATGGGGGAGGGCCCAGCCCATCACGGGTGGTGCCATCCCTGGGCTGGTGGTCCTGGGTTCTATAAGAAAGCGGCTGGACAAGCCAGTAAGCAGCAGCCCTCGATGGCCTCTGCATCAGCTCCTGCCTCCAGGTTTCTTTCTGCCCTGTGTGAGTTCCTGTCCTGACTTCCTTCAGGGATGAACAGTGGTGTGGAAACATAAACCAAATAAAGCCTGTCATCCCCAAGCTGCTTTTGGTCATGATGTTTCATCACAGCAACAGTAAACCTAACTGAGACACTGCCCAGAATAAAAACAAAAACTGAAGTGAGTGATATTTAAAGAGGTAGATTGTTCAACTCGATCACAGTGTTGGCATGTATTGGAGTATCATGTCACACTCCGTTTAATTATACAGTTTTTGTGTGTCTCTATGTTAGTCACAAAAATGAACTTAATTTTAAATAGTTGGTTCAGTATATACAGAAAGGTAAATAGTAGAATGTATTTTTAAGTAATGTTTGAAGAAGGTTAAACCCAGATCTGAGGAAGCTTGAAGGCTTGTCCATGTTTGTGGGTAAGGTTTACATGCTGACCTCAGTTTAAAATCTCATTAGGTATTCTCATCTCACCCCCCTGAGTGTCCTGGGGCAGGGGCTTGGCTGTGATGATGTTTGTGGTGCAGAATGTTGTGCACGCAACTCAAAGTATTGGAGTATATTGTTTTAGAGGTCAGACTTCAACGCTCTGTCCCTTCTTACCGTTCTCTATAAGTTATAGAGAATTCAACGCCCTGCCCCTTCTTACCGTTCTCTATAGGTTATTCAGCGGCGGGCTTACGTTGTCGTTTCAGGTACCACGAGGCCTTGCCGCTCTTCCTGCGCTGCTTTACTGTGGGCTGGATTTACACGCGGATTCTCTCCCGGGCTGTGGAAGTGTTGGAGAGACTTCGCCTGTATGAGGTTAGCGCACCTCCTCCACCCTTCACTGACAGGACCTCTTGGGCTCAGCAGGAAGAACCTGAGGAAAGCTTGTTTACTACAGGCAGCCTGCGGTCCTGTCTCTCTCTGGTAGAGAGAAGATAACCTCGCCAGCAGCCATTTGGTTTGCTTGTGACTTGATGAGTGTGCGTACTGGGAAGGCTTGATGGCCGTGAACAGAGCCTGGTAGGTAGGAGCCCAGAGCTCAGTCAGCCTTACCTGGGCCTCAGAACTTGGTGTAAGGCGCTGTAGTTACCCTAGGTCTTGTGGGTAAAAAGCTCACACCCCCTTGTCTTCTGTCACAGATTGTCTGGAGATAGTTTAAAGTCACAAATTGACAATTTGGTCACATCCTTAGATTAAGATTAAGAAATTGCCATAGTTCCCTTTTATTGTGGCGTTTCTGTCTTGACAAATGATGTTTTACAAAGAGGAAATGGCAAGCTGGGTCTTTGACTTGGGTCTCTTGAATTCCAGGAAGTGCTCATGCAGGGGAGCGTCTCAAACTCCTGCCTGTCAGTCCTTGGCCTTCGTGGAGAACGGACCATACCAGCCCTGTTGACTTCTGACTGTAATTGGAGCCGATGCTTCTAGCATTTAACAGCCTTTCTTTTTATTGCTGCCTAGGAAGCCGTTGAGGAACTGGAAAAGCTCCTGTCTCAGAAAGTCTACTGTCCTGACAGCAGAGGGCGCTGGTGGGATCGCCTGGCTCTTAACCTGCACCAGCACCTGAAGCGTCTGGAAGCGGTGAGCGGCAGCGTGCCCAGGCTGTGTGACTTGGAAGTGGTTTTTTAATAGCAAGCTCTAACTAAGTACTTCAGCACTGGGGATGGAGCTGAGCACCTCACGAGTACTTAAATAAGCACCCAGCCCCTGAGCTGCCGCAGCCTAGGAAAGCACTTTCTTTAGTTAACTTATTTATTTTTCTTATTTACTGGTGGGGGCAGAGTCTCACTGTGTAGCTCTGGCTGTCCTGGAACCCACCATCTAGACCAGGCTGGCTTGGAGCACACAGAGATCCACCTGTCTCTGCTTCCCAAGTGCTGATATTAAAGGCATGCACCATCGTGCCTGGCCATTTATTTTTATTTTAATTAAAATATCATTTTATCACTTCCTCCTTTCCTTTTCCTCCCTCTCATTAATATATGGTTCTGAGAAAATAGTAAAAAGTGTGATTTTTTTAAAAATTAATATTGATGTATTTTTATATAATACATGGAAAAGTTCTATAGATAAAACAAAAATTTTTAAATATTTAATTTTTATCAAAACGTTAGAAACCACTAATGCAACAAATGTGACGTCGAAATAAAAACTCAATAAATGAAAAGAAATTCTAAATATAATTAGCAGATACTTTTCCTTTTAATATTCTTTGGTTGAGTTCTTCCAACCCCACTCCCCACCCTGAAATAGCAGGGGTGATTCTAACACTAGCATTAAGTAAAAGCAGGCGCTGTCTATTTGCTCTGGCTGGGAGGGGAAAGGGGCTGACAGTGGCCTCCACGAAGTGGAATTAAGGAGAAGGGGGATCAGATGTGTCTCAGCTCTTGCAGGTTCATATTCATTCATTCTCTCCCTGCCTGTCTCCCTCCCCCCCCTCCCCATCCTC